TCATCGCACCAGAAAATGTTAACTTTCGCTGGATATGTTTGGTAAGTAAAAGAAGAAAATTCGCAAAAAACCTCATAAATGCGGTACGAAGCGATCTCAACTTTTGGAAATGGAATTTCAATTACCATAAGAATGATAAACGATTTCACTAAGAGTCGATCTTGTCCTATCGAAGGTTTCTATTATTTCTTCTATTCATGACAGCTGACTGCTGATCAGCTCAACAATTTTAATGATCTCAGCTAAAAGATCTATGCTTCGCACCGCATTAATTAACTGAGAATGACCACAGTCAAGACTCTACCCAAATATTCGCGTTCCTGGATGCTGAAAGTTTATCTGCATACAATATCCGTAACCCAAAGGTAAAGAACTATTTTGATACATCGCCAGCTTTTTCAACGGTCTTTTATCTATGAGTAAAGGCGACATCTCCGATCGAATACCTTCCGTTGGTTGATCTATTCCATAAGTCAAAAAAGTAATCGTCTATCTAAAAAATTATTATGATATTCATTTTAATAATAATATAATAAGACACTAATAATTTATATCATATGTCGAATCCAGTATCATTATCAACAATTCAAACAAATCATATAAAATCATTATGTAAAGTTTGTTCAAATGCTCTAGTTTTAGTTGATACAATTACATTGGAATGGTTTCGTGTAACAAATATAATCGGACATTTATTTTGTTCAATAAATCGTCCAACTATAAAACAAATTAATGATTCAGTAAAATAAATATAAATAAATCAATATTTTCAAAGCACATATGTTTTCTTTTCTTTTTCTTTTTCTTTAAAGAATTTATTCGAAAATAATAAACATTCAAATCTTGTTATCATTCTTAATCAATCAATACCAATATCTCGTTTGAATGATATTTGTACTGAACAAAATTTTGATTCAATTACATTATTAATTAGTTCACCATCAATAATTGATGATGATAAAAATGAATTAGAAGAGAATCTATATGATATATTAAAAATAAAATATTTACAATTTCCATTTATTTCTATAACAAATTCTTTCTTTTTAATACCAACTCTTATTTCATATCGATTGCCAACTATTGAAACTGTGACTTCACTTACTAATGAAAAAATTAAAGTAAACAAAAAACAATAGTTTTCATTCTTCACTATTTTAAAATGAATTATCCTTTAGACGATATCATTAGATACTATATTTGAAAGAGATGAAATAAAAACAATTCGAGTAAGAAACTTTGTCTATCTCAACTCACAAACAAAGAATCTATTATAGATTCATGCTGAAATGTTAAATAGTTTAATGGCAAGTATGAATGCACGTGAAGATATTTTTATACTTGGTCCAATGAGTCATATTATTGCTCGTGAATATACACAAATGGCAAATATCAAACAGAGACGACGAGTATTAGAGTTAATTATAACTTTAGTCATTGAAATTTATTTATTCATTTTATTCTAGTCTGGTGAAAATAAAATAGCTTTACTATTAATTGATCGTTATTTAGATTTAGCAACACCATCATCTCATCAACAAGATACATTACTTGCACAAATTATTAATATTTTACCTAATATACGTATAAAAAGTTTTGATAATTGTCATCAACGTACGATTGATGTCAAAGTTGATACTCGAGCTTTATTAAAAAATTCATCGTAAGTTTTCAAAAATGATTGAATAGAGAAGTTTCAATGTTTATATATATATTTCTTTTTTGTAGATCGAAATTTGAGAATGATTTTAATTCATATTTATTTGCTGATATGAAACGACGAGTAGAAAATGAAGATACTAAATCAATATTTGATAATATTATTTATTCAAAATCGAAAGTAAAGATATTTGTTTTTTGAATAATTATTATTTGATAAAATACAATAGATTAAAAATGTTAGATTCTATAAGAAAAAGAATAAGTTGAGTCTTTCAATAATCCGAAAACATATTCTGTAGTAATCATTACATGTATATGAATCTTAATTCTTCAAAGTTAGTAAAACATTGTTTCAATTCGTTTATGGATGAGTTTAGAATTCAATCAATTATTAAATTTTTAGTTGTTGATACAAGATGAACACATTAAAACAATAACAAGAAATGATCATTCAAACTATTTTACATGGACAAAGACATGTCTAGCTCATCTACTTAGTTCCGTGCTGGAGGCAATTCTATAGACGAGTATGCAATTAGTGGTGAATCGGTTACAGTTTTTTTTACAGAAAAAAAAAATCTAATTGATAGGATGTTGAACATAGGAAAATACTGATTAATAGCAATGCTAGAATCTGCCCAATATATGCACATCGCATAGCCTGGATATGTAGTGATTTCCATCTTAATTTTTGGACGAGTTGGTATTTCCGATGAGTTGTAATTATATCATACTCTCATAAGAATGGTAATTCGATTTTGCTCGTATCCAGACCTAGAGGCTATGTTATTGTAAACATAGAAAATTGTGTCATACTGAATGCAACCTAAGTCTTTAACTTCATTGGTTGTTTTTGTCAAATTTCAGGATCTATACTTATCTAACGCAAAAAAAGTTTAGGTTCTTAATTTATTGATACAGAAATACAGTATTTTACCGATGGTTTTTAAATGAATGAAATTTTTCACTTGAGAAATACTAAGAAAACTCATTTTTGAGGTCCAGTTTGAAAGTTTACACAGATATAGACTTTCATGAGTATGGTTTATTGGGAATGTTTCCGATCTTTTCATTGTTCCTATCCTAAAATAAGGCTATGGTAAACAGTTTGTCTTTTATGTTACTTATATACATCGGCAACTTCAACTTTCTTTTTTTCACGACAAGAGAAAATTAAAATAAATGAAAGTTTCACAATTAACTATTCTTATTAGCGTCTATCTCTATAAAATTTTCAAGTAGATGTGTAAGCCGATAC